GCAGCACTGCTCCCCCACCACCACGTGACGGTGTCCTACGACATCGATCGAGCACAAAAATGTTTCTTTGCTCGGCAAACACTCTACATCTACAAGTTTCTCTGATCGCCTCGCCTGTCTGGCATCTAGACGCGCTGACAGCTGTTCAACAGCTCGAACCGAAATAGAGTATTTATAATAAAATCAAAATAACAGAAAATACACAAAAGAACTATTAGTGGCGAACCGCAAGCAAAATGAGTCGCCTAGTACATAAAACGCATATAAAGGATACATAATATATTAAGGATACTGTTAATGGTGCGGAGGGTGATTTTGTAGTCGAACTTCGGAACCGATCGAATCGGATACAGCATGGGGGCGCGCGCGTACAACTACTTTTAACGCGGAGCAGCTTCACGATGTGTTCGCTCGCTCGACATACAGAAAACCTCACCTCGCATGCCACACGATCATGTGTGATGTGTGGGCATGTGTTGTGTGTGTGTGTGTGATGGTGTGTGGTGGTTCGTGTGTGGTTGTGTGTGCTCGCGCGTGCGTGCAGCGTGAAGCTGTATTAGAATACATACTGGGGCGCGAGATTCACCACGTTGCGCAGAAGTGTAATGCGTACATCCGAGTTCCTACGAAGTCACTGTAGCGCAAAAGCGTCGTAGGTGCGATCATCAAACGCAGCCGTAGCACCTCGCGCTGAGAACAAATTTGGATGAAATTCCTGTAATCCACTACGGTCCACTCGTGGCTTGCTTGAGCTGTTTGAAAAGGCGTGGCCTAGCAAATAAACGCGCAGATCAACTGTGGCGACACCTACCGATAGCCAACCGCAAACTGAACGCTCTTGGATACTTTAAACCATATGGGAGCTCGTGCTAGCAGTCTGTCCGTAGTCATGTATTGCTAGGGGGATGTGATATTGTCCATACATCGTTTCGTCTTGTAATGATTGCGTTGACAACAGCTGCATGAAGCAGCGAACACGTACACATGCGTGCGTGCGTGGTGTCCGTACACGTCGCGTGCGTGGCGTTGCGTGAGTTGCACGTACGCGTGCTGCGTGCGCTAGTGCTACTTACACGTCATAGTGCGGGCGTGCACTGTGCACGGTGTCGTGGCGTGTGAGTGTGCCACGTCAGCCACGTGCGTGGTGTGAGTACAAAAGTGCGTTCGTATCGTGCTGATACGTACAATCGTGCGTGCGGCGTAGCGGTGTGTGCGTGCGTGATCAACGTGCGAGGATGCGTAGCGTGCGGTGTGTTACGATACACGTGGACGTGCGTGCGTGCGTGTGCACGTACACGTGCGAGTGCTTGCTACGTACACCGAGTGTGTGCGTGCGTCGTGCACGTACATCGTGACGTCAGTGCCGTGCGTGCGTGGCGTGCGTGCGTGTGCACGTACACGTGCGTGCGTGGCAGTTGTAATCGTACAACGGACGGCGCAGTGCAGTGCGAGTGCGTGCAATGTGCCGTGCAGTGCGTGTGTGATGGGCACAGGTACACAGTACGTGCGTTGATAGCAAGTACACACGTGCGTGCGTTGCGTGTGTATCGTACCCGGGCCGTGCGTGCGTGTGCGACGTCACACGTGCGTTGGCCGTGATGGTGCACGTGTGCGTGCGGCGTGTGCACACGGAGATACACGTGCGGCGTGGACGTGAGTGTGCACGTACACGTGCGTGCGTGCGTGTGGACGTACAACGTGCGTCGCAGTGAGCGTGTAAGAGCGTACACGTGCGTTGGCGTAGCGTGTGTGCGTGCGTGTCACGTACAGCGTGGCGTGGCGTGCGTAGTGTACCGGTACACGTCGCATGCGTGCGTGTGTACGTACACGTGCGTGCGTGCGTGGGTGTACGTACAACGTGCGTGCGTCGTGTGTACGTAGCACGGCGTGCGTGCGTGCTTGTGGCACGTGTGCGTGGTGCGTGTGCACGTACACGTGCGTGCGTGTACACGTACACGTGCGTGCGTGTGAACGTAAAAGTGCGTGCGTGTGCAAGCGTACACGTGACGTGCGTGTGCACGTACACGGCTAGAACTACGACTCGGCTATAACGAAATAAGCAATGCCCAACTATCGACCAGAGAGAGAAGCGTCAATGCGGCCGCCTGTCTGTGTAGTATGTAATTAATTATTTAGTTTTTGTTGGGTATAGGTAATTATTGATGATTTTTATCTCAATAAAATCAATGTATGCATCTGTCGAGTTATGTCTGGAGAAACACCTGCGGAAATTTCGAGTGGTTTAGCGGCAAGCCCTCGTCAGCTCGTGTAAAGTTACGCAAAGGTTTACGTAAAGTTTTAGGGCCTTGTGATAATCGCAGCACTATAAAAGCGGCTCGGCTTAGCGTAGCGCGATCGTACGCAAATTCTACGTGAAAGTAGCTGATGTTGATGAATCGCAACTAAGCAAACGTCGATATGGCGTACCAAGATTACGCGAACTATTTTGGGCGTACGAAAAGCTTGATGATGTACCCCTGGTACGTGATATATGCCGAAGGCGACCCTCCGGTTCCTAGGCTGTGGATGCAGTTTCTCCTTCTCTGCTCTCTCTGCCTCCCTCACTCTCTCTCTCCCTCTCTCTCTGCACTCATCTCTCTCGCTCGCTCTTATCTCTTCTCGCTCTCATCTCACTCTGCTCTTCTCCTCTTCTCCTCTCTTCTCTCTCTCTGCTCTGCGTGCTCTCTCTCATCTCGCTCGTGCACTGTCCCAAGAGAAGTACTTCTCTCGCCCGCGTCTTTTCTCTGTCCCCCCTCTCATCCATACTTCATCTTCTTCGTCTTCTTCTCTTCCCTCTCCCTAATCCCTCTCTCTCTCTCCCTCTCTCCCTCTTCCCTCGCTCTCAGTCGTCTCCGGCTCTATCTGTCTCAACTCACGTCTCTCTGCAGCACTCACTCGTCTCTCCCTCGATCTCCTCTCCTCTCGCCTCTCTCGTTACTCTCCCACTCTGCTCTCTTTCCCTTCTCTTCTCTGCCCCCCTCTCTCTCTGCGCATCTCGTATGTCTTCTCTTAGCTCGATCTCATCTATCTCTCTCTGCTCGTGCTCTCTCGTCTCTCTCAATCCTCATTCGACCCCTCCTCTCTCGTCTCGCTCCTCTCTCTCCGGCCATGCATCGCCTGCTCAGTCTCTCTACTCGTCTCCTCATCTCCATCTCGTCTGCTCTTCACTCTTCGCGTCTCTCTCTCCCTCTCTCTCTTCCTCTCTGCTCTAATCTCTCTCTCCTCGTCTCTCTGTCTCTCAATATCTACTGCTCTAATCCCCCTTCTACGTGTCTCGCTACTCGCTCTCTCTTTATGCTCATCTCTGCTCCAGCATTACTGACCGCGAACTCATGGAATACACAGCGGTGAATCGCATGCGTGTAAATGCAGACAGACATGGCAGATGCACTTGTCTCTGCATCGGCACTCTCTGATGGCCACGCCCCCACGCGTCGATGCATTGGCCAGGGAAGACACAGCACATCGTCGTCAGCTGCTAGTGAGGGGACGACACACACATCATCAAAGCTGGCTAGCGTGAGGGACACAGCCACATCGTCAGCTGCCTAGGTGAGAGAAACACCAGCAATCATCAAGTGCTAGGTGAGGAGACTCAGCACATCGTCGTCAAGCTGCTAGGTGTAATGGGAGACACAGCACATGCGTCAGCTGCTAGCGTGAAAGCGGAGAGCACAGGCACATCGTCAGCTGGGGCTGGTGAGGGATACAATGAGCAGCACATCCGTTCAGAGCTGGCTAGGGTGAAGGGAGACACAGCACAGTGCGTCAGACTGCTTTAGGTGAGGCGGAGACACAGACATGTCAGCTGCTAGGTACGGGAAGACAGACAGCACATCGTCTAAGCTGCTAGGTGAGGGGAGACACAGCAGCATCGTTAGCTGCTAGGTGAGGGAGACCACAGGCACATCGTCGCTGCTAGGTGAGAGGAGTACACAAAGCACATCTCCAGCTGTTAGTGAGTGAGACACAGCTACCTGCGTGAGCGTGCTAGGTGAGCTGGAGAGACACAAGACATCGTCAGCTGCTAGTGAGGGGAAGACAAGCAGATTATCAGCTGCTAGGTGAGGAGACACAGCCATCGCGTCAGCTGCTAGTGAGTGGAGACACAGCAGCATCGTCAGCTGCTAGGTGAAGGAAGACACAGCACATCGTTTAGCTGCTAGTGAGGAGATCACAGCCACATCGTCAGCTGGCTAGGATGAGGGGAGGACAAGCAGCACACTCGTGCAGCTGCTGAAGGTTGAGAGGAGACAGCAGCAACATCGTTATGCGTGGCTGAGGGTGAAGTGGAGACACAGCAGCATCGTCAGCTGTTTAGGTGAGAGGCAGACACAGCAACATCGGTGCCAGCTGGCTAGGTGAGGGAGAGACGAAAGGCAGGAGGACACCCGGCGTGTCTTACCGGTCTTGTCATGTCTGATTTGTATAGTTGGCTCTTCAGTGGCTGATATAGTGGCAGTGCGTTGCTACCAATCGTGAAGCAGTTGCTGATATTGTTACAGAGGCTTACTACAATCCGTTAGCATCACGCCGCTACACTCGTCAAAGGAAGGCGTGTGTACGTCGTCCAGAGCCTGTACATTGTGACAGAGCCTGCTACAGTTGTGACATTGGCTCGCCTACATAGTGACAGAGGCTTTTACATCGTGACAGAGGGCTGTTACATCGTGAAGCAGAGGCTGCTATGACATCGAGTGTACAGAAGCTGTTAACCGTGATAGGAGCGCGCTACATAGTGAACATAGCCTGAACATCGTAAGCCGAGGCTGCTACATACATCGTGATAGCAGTTGATATATCGTGACAGAGGCTGCTATATCGTGACAGAGGCTGTTACATCGTGACAGAGACTGTTACATCGTGACAGAGGCTGCTGCATTGTGGCAGAGGCTGGTACATCGTGACAGCAGTTGATATATCGTGACAGAGGCTGCTACGTCGTGACATAGGCTGTAAATCGTGACAGCAGTTAATATATCGTGACTGACGCCATCACCATGAGTGTTATTCTCGCTGTAACCAGCGTCTGTGTTGCCGTCACCATGGCAGCCCATCTGTCTCTCACCCCAATGCCCTCTAACGGGTCGTCAGCTGCTGATCTCGGCCTGTGTTCACCTTGGTATAGAGCGTCCGAGCGGCTGTTCCTCATGAGCAAGGATGTAAGGATCCCGCCCGCCCGCGCCTCGCTCAATCTCAGCGGTGTTCACCTGAAGGTGGCGCTGTGGTCGTGCTCTAACCACACTGACTTTTATTTGGGATCGCGCGTTCTCAAGGAGCTCTCTACGTTTATGTACTTTACCTACACCGTCACGGCACGCTGCTACGGCTTCGACGGCATAGTCGCCGGGATTGCAGCGGGAGAGATAGACATTGCAGCGTATCTGCGAATCACGGAGCAACGTCAGAGATTTGTCAGCTTTCTGCATCCACTCGCCGAGTCCCGGTACAGCTTCATGATCCGGGCCGAAAGGGTGGGAGAAGTGGCGCCACTGACGATACTCGCTCCTTTCCACTATAGCACGTGGCTGTTTGTGTTCGGTTACTTGCTTGCTTGTGTAACGATGTTAACGCTGTACGAGGGGTGGAGCAGCCGGGGTCAAGGGAGAGGGCCCGGCAGAAGAGAGAGGAGCTGGGTGGAGGCGAGCAGCAGGTACGTGATGTTCAAGCTGGGATCCGGGCTGCAGCAGGGCGGCACGTATAACGCTGTCGACATGCCGTCACGGATGCTGGTCGGATGGTGGTGGCTGTTTGCTCTGGTCATCACAGCAACCTACTCTGCCACGCTGGTCAGCCATCA